GTTATGGATTTGGCAATCAAAATGTCTTTGTTAAAAAAAAAAAGTTTTAACTGCCTTACTATTGAGGTTACAAACCACAGCCTTGATGCATTGTTGCAGTCAACATCCTCCCTGCTGTTTTTGAGAGCTTACATCTGCTGCTGGCAGATAAAATGCTGGCAAACAGCAAGGGCTCCTTCCAGGGGAATCACAGGAGAAGCTTTAATGAGATGACTCTCATCATCTACCTTTTTACCCTGAGTTGAACCCATAGCCTTTTATGTATCACTTCTACCTTCTTTAGGATGATCCTCTGCCATTACTCAGGAGGGCTGAAGGTCTAGAGGGATTTTTTTTTTTTCTGGCATAAATTAGTCATGTTGGCCATACTAGTCTTAGAAGATAAAAGGAAGACTATAGTGTTCATGGCTCAGGGGAAAGCATATATCTTTTTTTTTTTCTTTCTTTCTTTTTTTGGACTTTCCACCTGTAAGCATATATCTTTTAAAGCCACTTAACAGCATAGTGCACTTGATTTTAAAACAACCACTAACAAAACCTTTTCAGTTTTCTTTTTTTTTTCTTTTTAAGAGGACTAAATGATCATACTATGCCAAAAATAGTGAGGGCTTAGTGTATTTTAATTTATCAAAGAAAGGCCAAGAATGTGAGGTCAGAAGTAAATTACTGAGTTTTTTGGGAGGAAAGAAAAGGGAACAGTATAGAGAGGCAAAATGTGGTCCAAGTCACACAGGAAGTTAGTTTCAGTTGAAATAAAAATTACTAGATCCACACTAGTTTTCAAAGAAAATGCGATTCAGCTGGGTGATAAATGAATATGGAGATATTGAAGGAAGACACAGGTTAGGAAACTACTTCCTGGATTGTTCTTTCTCAGTGAGTTGACCTATGAGAATAAAGAAAAATCAAACACACAACACTCCTAAATTGTACATACCATGATATCAGTTCTGCAGTAGGTAAATAGGTAGCACATGTGCTGGTGGGGGATTAATTTATGCTCAAAGTTTTGGGATGCATGTTATATCCACCTCTTAGAGAGCCATAATCTACACTAGTATATTAAGGGCTCTGAGATGTTCTATAGTAAACAGATCTGTTTAATCCAAAGATATTTCCCAAATTTGAGTTTCAGAGAACACCCATGCCATGGAATAGTTTGGTAAATGCTAGTCAACTGGCATTATTCCTAAACTCTCGACTCATTCATTCAGAAACAAGAATGGGGCTGGTATAACAGACTTGACAAGTACACTTTCTACATCACAGAACTCTAGCTCAAACAGACACAGGTAAACTACAGAGAGTGGTCTTGATATTTTCTAAGAGACAGCCAAATACCAAAGCTGCAACTTTTAAAAGTGATAAACTCTTTACTCAATAAATAAGACTAAAATAGGGCTAACATCAACTCTGAATAAATTCATATGCTACCCTCAAACACAGAAAAGAAACAATAAAGGTGTGGTGGCTAACACTTGTAATCCCAGCACTCTGGGAGGCTGAGGTGGGTAAATCACCGAGGTGGGTAAATCACCTGAGGTCAGAAGTTCCAGACCGGTCTGACCAACATGGTGAAACCCCGCCTCTACTAAAAATATTAAAAAATTACCCAGGCATGGCGGCACATGCCTGTAATCCCAGCTACTCAGGAAAGTAAGGCAGGAGAATCGCTTCAACCTGGTAAGCAGAGGCTGCAGTGCGCTGAGATCACAACACTGCACTCCGGCCTGGGCAAGAGAGAGAGACTCTGTCTCAAAACCAGAAAAACAAAACAAACAAACAAACAAAAAAAAAACAGTGGAAAAAAGCTACAGAAAAGCTGACCATAGGGAAAATGGGTAAAATGGGTATGGCATTCCCATATCCGATGAAGCCTAGTGGCTTCTGGCTTCTGGTATATTTTAATGTTACATATCAGAGACATTCAAAAAGAGAGTTGCCAGCACCTCCAGCTGGGAACATCTGGGAGGATTCCTGCACTTCTACATGCTGTCTGCAGCAATCTCAGGACAAGAGACAGAATATAAGCTCAAGGAGAAGTATCATGATAAAGAGTTATTCTTCAGAAACCAACAAGACTTGTTTTAATTAGATTTCTAAGTCCTATAACCCTTATAATAGAACCGGATTATAGTTTCCTACCCTTCTCTACACAAATTTGTGGCACAAAGAAGACTGGCTGTCTAGAGACTGAAATCATTTGACCTTGTATCAGGTGGTGGTTTGCTTAATCAATAGATGAGAAAATAAGGCAAGGCCCCTTGCCAAAAACCATCATCCACACTGCCATATGCCCCTGGGTTCTATTTTAGAACACAAATACATATCTCAGGAAGAAAACAGAATGCAGTATGTTACACTATGCTGTTAATGACTGTGAGTCTCTAAAACTGTAAAGCCTACCAATGTAAGATTTTTATAATACTACTTCTAGACTTGGGGATGGGGGGAAAAAAGGGAGGAGGGAGGAAGAAAGTAGACATTGAAAAAAAATGGGCAAAGGTTCAGACGGATAGCCCAGCCTCCACGTGTCTATGGTTTTACCTAGATCTGGATCAGATACTAAGAGAAGAATAAAAGGCTAGAATTCAAAATTCACACCAAAATGCATGCATTGTACTCACATAATCAGAGAAGATCGAGCAGGTAACCCACAAGAAAATGAAAGACACAAATATAGACGGATAACAAGTGTTAGCCAGGCACGGTGATATAAGCCTGGAGTCCCAGCTACTGGGAGGCTAGGGTGGGAGGATCACTTAAGCCCAGGAGGCAGAGGTTGCAGTGAGCCAAGATTGGCACTCCAAGATTGGCACTCCAGCCTGGGTGATACAGTGAGACCCTGTCTCCAAAAAATAAATAAATAAATAAATAAGAGTAAAGAACAGAGAGGGTGAAATGGCTGGGAATAGTAAAGGAAAAAAGTAGACCGTAACGAGAGTAATGAAAGGTAAGAAAGTCTGAAAAACAGAATTTGCTGAGATAAATGAAACTGAAGCACTTTTTCTTCAGCACAGTAGTGGAAGCCCTATTATCTAAAGTAACTGTTCAGAGAACAGGAAAACCATACTGTTAGGTAAGACTCTTCGTGCTTCAAGGATGGACTTTTCTCATTTTGGATTTCTGCCAGTTCTGAGTCTAAACATAAGGGTCCTATGTTTCAGGAATTTTCTAATTAAGTTAAAGTCTTTCAGCTCCCTCTGCTGTTCAAACATGTACTATAGTTATATCGGTTCAATTTTATTTTATTTTATTTTTTTTGAGATGGAGTCTCGCTCTGCCGCCTAGGCTGGAGTGCAGTGGTGTCATCTTGGCTCACTGAAACCTCTGCTACCAGGTTCAAGTGATTCTCCTGCCTCAGTGTCCCGAGTAGCTAGGATTACAGGTGCCGGCCATCACACCTGGCTAATTTTTTTTTTTGTATGTTTAGTTGAGATGGAGTTTCACCATGTTAACGGTCTCGATCTCCTGACCTTGTGATCCACCCACCTCGGCCTCCCAAAGTGCTGGAATTACAGGCATGAAGCACAACACTGGTCTTTTTCTTTTTGAGACAGTTTCGCTCTGTTACCCAGGCTGGAGTGCAGTGGCATGATCTCAGCTCACTACAACCTCCACCTCCCGGATTTAAGCTGTTCTGCCTCAGCCTCCTGAGTAGCTGGGATTACAGGTGTGTGC